CAACCACTGAGGCCTACATCTCTGTAATCAGAAGAGAGATACATACAGACTCAGGTTCCTTAATTATATTCTTAGGGGGGTGGGGGGCAGGCAAAAAATCACCTGCTAATCCTCGGGATAATATTTATTAAACAAAATTTCTGGTGAAATATGTGAAGTCACCAATTACTTTCATAAAATTGGTGTTATTTCTAATAGGTATTTAAAAGAGTCTTTTAAATACTCAACCAAATATAAACAAACAGGAGACACCACAATTACAGACTTCTTTTTCATAGAGAAACACGTTGTCCATGTTTAATAAATGGCACTTCTCGGCTGACCAGAAAGGAAAGGAAGAAGAATGAAACCACATACATGAATGGAGACCTACGGACAGGATTTAACTCTAGAAGTCTTTGCTCAAGCTTTAGCAGAGATTGCTTAATCGGTCCTCCACGTCAGTAACTGAGCTTGTTCTCCATTAGTGTTTGCTCTTCCTCCCCACCTCCTCCTAGGAGAAGTATCCTCTCCCCCAAGCAAAGATTTGTGTGCCCGGGATTGTTCTCCTGTGCTTCTATGGGACAGTTATCAGCCAAAATATAGGACACCTCCTTAATTTGAATTTCAGAAAATCCAAAAATATACTCACCGCATATATAAATAAACCCCAAGTATACTCAGACATAATGATAATAAAAAGTATTTGCTACTGAACCTTATTTTTATTTACTAAATATGAAAAACCTGATGATAAAAGAATTTCTGAACAAATCTGTAGGCAGAAGCCAAGCTCAGCCTTAATCAGCCAAACTTCAATGAATTGGCAGACTCGTGACCAAGAAATAACTACTTATTTTTATGTGCAATGTGAGTTTGTGGTTTTCTGTTATTCAGCAGTAGCTGACTAATTCAACCCTGGCAACAATAACAAATTGACTTAATATTCCAAACCATAAACGCAAGAAGATTATTTTCTATGAAGTAAATAACAATCGAGCAGTACCTACAAATATGCACAAAGGTTAGTCATGTTTTAAATTTTAATGTATTGTCTGGAAGGCACAGGTTAATAAATTTGTAGAGTAATAGATAAAGTTTAATTCAAATGGATAGGACCAAGTATAACTATTAATATAAAATTGAAGGACAATCTCAATTCTTTTTTAAAAATATATGAGTACACATTTGCCATGCATAGTCCTCACATTTATCACAAGGAAGATGTAATGCATCTTAATTCTTTTTTTTTTTTTTTTTTTGAGGTAGGGTCTCCCTGTGCAGTTCACTTTGAGCTCACTTTGTATCCCAGGCTGTTCTCAAACTCGAAAGGATCCTCCTGAGTCAGCCTCCTGAGTGCGAGGATTACAGGCGTGAGCTACCATGCCTGGCCATTTTAATTCTTCTTGAGTCCAGACTTTCTTAGTTAAAAATTGTGTGACTTTGGGAAAATTGACTAAATTTAAGATTTCTAGTTTATAGAGTGGGAATAATAATATCAACCTCCAGAGCCTTACAGTCATAAATTACACAAGACAGCAATGTTACAGAGCATATCAAGAGCTCAGTAAATGGTAATTTAAGATTCTTATGTAGTAGACGAAAGATAACAGCTAAATCCAGCATCCATCAGGGACTAACATCTAGAATATATAAAGAACAAAAAAAGTAGACCACTGAAATTAAAAGGCTCTATCAAGAAATGAGCAAGTAAAATGAACACACTTTACAGAGGAAGAAATGCAAATGGCCAACAAATATATGAAAAAAATGGTTAACACCATTTAGAGAAGTGCAAACGAACAGGAAGATGCCATCTTGCAGCAGAAAGAATCGCAATCATCAAGAAATCCAAAAATGACAAACGCTGGCGAGGCTGTGGTGAAACAGGAATCCTCCTCCACCGCCAGTGGGGATGTAAACTGGTACAATTATGCTGGAACCCAGCTCGGAGAGCTCTTCAAGAACTAAAGTTAGAAATTCCACCTGACCGTGGGACCCAGCTATCCCCTTCCCAGTGTTTCCCCTGCAGAGTTTAAGGCTTCCTGCCACAGCGACACACACACCTGTGTTTACAGCAGCATAACTAATAGGAAGGAGCTGAATCCCAGAAGCAGCCTCCCTGACCCTCAGCAGACGACTGGAGGAAGAAGATGTGGTATTTGTACGGGAGGGAATCCCACTCTGCTACAAAGAACCGCAAATGTGAGACACTTGCAGGAAAATGGACACACCAGGGAAATATGAGGTTAGTGAAATAAACCAGACACACAGGCTTGGATACCACAGGGCTCTGCCATTTGTGCAAGGCAAAGAGCAAACAAAGAGAATCATAAGGGATGGATGGAAGGGACAAGCGAGCGCCGGATCTCCTGCAACTGGGAAGGGGTGCAGGGAAAAGCCGGGGAGAAATAAGAACAAAGACTGAAATACACAGCGGCCGAGTCACCTCAGCAGCGTAAGCACTATGTGCCCTGAACGCGAGCTGAGATGAACAAAATGAACAGGAATGAAGACGGGGAGGGGAAGGAGAGGAGGAGGGAGAGGGAGGGAAGGAGATTAAAACAAAAAGAAAGGAGCTGCGGAACATGCATGGACCCACGCCTCCGATGACTGTAAGCTGCATGCTGCAAACACGGGCTCATAAAACACAAGATTAAAATTTTAAGAAACAAAAGCACATCTGAGGGACAATGTCTTAGTTACTTTATGTTCGTCGCTGAGACAAAATACCTGAAGCCCAAAGTTGGGAAAGGAAAGGTTTATTTCTTACAGTTTTTGGAGGTTTCAGTCCACACTCAGTTGGCTCCAAGACAGGCAGGCATGGCTGGGCCACAGTTCATGGCCGCCGCCCACAGCAAACTCAAACCAGCAAAGAGAAAAACACACCTTTTTCCTGCCATTACATCACATCCTGGCTCCACCCCTATGTGGGAGGAGCACTGACACCATCAATCCAAGCACTATACAATGAACCATCACATATGAACAATGCAAACTCATGAGGCCTGGGGGACACAAACATAAACCATGACAGACAACTATGATAAACTGTTCTAAGAGAAAATTGAGTGTCAACTTCCAAGAAAAGCATAGGACAGGATTCCTTAGAAAGCTGTGATAAAAGACATCAGCTCAAGGATTGTTGGACCAAAAATATCCACAGAAAATTGATCATAAGTAAAAAAGGGGTTTTTTTGTAAATAAATCCAGAAATGTTACCCTTTTGCTAAGTCATTGTATCATTTTGCCCAGGAGAGTACCATACAGTTCTAGCCACATGTCCTCAGAGTCCATGGTAAAGGTAAGAACATTCTCAGGGAGGCGAGTGGGAATCTTAGTCTCAGGATAGATGGAGAAAAAATTGGTATCATTTATATCAATACCTTCCACAGTATCTTCAGTGAAAGATGGAGCTAACTCCTTCAAGACTGCAAAAGACCTGCCATTGGAAGTCTGAAAGGGGAAACCCCAGAACAAATGACATTTTATTTGGGGAGTGGGAGGACAGGGTTTTGCTATGCAGTTCAGGCTGGCCCTGAATTCACTTTGTAGCCCAGGCTGGCCTCAAACGCACAGCGATCCTCCTGAATGCTGGGATTACAGGTGTGTGCCACCGTGCCTGTATAGCAGTTGCATTTTAAAAGTGTTCCAAGGGGTTTTGCAAGCCATTTGTCCCTTTCTCCCCACTCACACCCCCTTCCAGGGCTCACAGGCAGCAAGTATGATTTATAACCAGGATTCTCTCTCTCTCTTTTTTCTTTCCACCTCCAGTATTGATCTGCTTAAAAAATAAGAGGTCCATATATGGATTGCATCATGAAAGACAAAATACACAGCAAAGGTACAAATAATGGCCATAAAAGGAACAAGGCAGTCCATCTCTCACGTTTCCACCAAGTGTGACCAAGAAAAATCAGACATTTTAGAGCGTTGAAATGGACGTGCTGGGAGGAAAGCGGACTAACAATCCAACAGGAAGTTGCCCTCTGCTGACCGCAGGGAGAAACCTCTGCCTAGAGCCGGGGACTGACCTGTCCAGGAATCCCGAATCCCTGTCAGGTGATCCATCCCGGGGGTCAGAAGTGATCCTAATTCCTTTGTCCTGTATGCATGAAGCTGGGGGAACGGAGAAGCAGCGCCCTACTGACCTGCACGAAACCCCGTAAAGGGAAGTGTCAAGCATGCTGTTCCAAGTCCAAGCCATGAGGTGACCTGGAGCTAAGGCTGGGACTGGACAACATGAGAAGAGACCTTGGAGGCCGCCTGAGGTCTCTCCCAAGACTCTGCAGGCGCCAGGATGAACCCCAAATACGCTGCAAGGAACAACTACCGTGGACGCCCCAAGCCCTGAAACAGATACTGGTAATCAAGGCAGAAGTTGAGCTGGGAGTGGGAGGAGGAGGAGGGGGTTCCAAGTAAATGTGGAGACATCAACAACCTAGGGAAGAGAGCCAAGGCCCCCCTCAAGGGAGAGCGACTCCAGGGCCCTGCCAGGCAGGACTGGAGTGCCATGTGGTCAGAGAAACCACAGCAGCCCTATGTGATGGACAGAGCGGGGTCTCCAGGAGAGCTGCCCATGGTTAGCCTGGGGTGATGCGGTAAACCTGTGGCTGTCACCTCTGTGGGTGAAGGAACCAGTCACTGCATGAGTGGTGATCCTCAGAGGCTCCAAAGGTGAGGACTAAGCTGCTGAGGTCAGGTGCAAAGAGCAGGGGCATCAGGCGCCCCATTAGTTTACATACACATTCTCGTCTCTGTCACGGGTCAGAAATATGAAAGAGGCAGATTCACCAGAATTGAATTCACTGCCTGAATCTGGTAAATAAACAATCAAAGGAAATGACGGGCCATTTGTGGTGTGTATGTGTATGGAAGCCTACAAGGCGGAGTGACCACAGCTGTCATTAGTCAACACCAGCTGCTCACTTCATTGGCCAGAACGTTAACGAGGAATGACCTTAATGACTTTGAGCCAGGGTATATAAAGGCCCGGACCAGGAGCAGGACATCAGCCCCAGAACCAGCTCTTGCCACCACCTCCAACCCCGCCTCACCCTCCACCGGCTCCATCATGTCCTGCTGTGGCTCCTTCTCCTCCCTCAGCTGCGGGGGCGGCTGCCTGCAGCCCTGCTGCATCCGGGATCCCTGCTGCTGCCGCCCAGTGTCCTGCCAGACCACCGTGTGCCGGCCCGTGACCTGCGTGCCCCGCTGCACACGCCCCATCTGCCATCCCTGCCCCAGGCCCGTGTGCTGCGACCCGTGCGGCCTGCAGGAGGGCTGCTGCCGCCCCATCACCTGCTGCCCATCGTCCTGCACAGCCGTGGTGTGCAGGCCCTGCTGCTGGGCGTCCACCTGCTGCCAGCCGGTGACTGTGCAGGCGCCCTGCTGCCGGCCCCCGTGCTGCCGGCCCGCGCCCTGCCGCGTGACCTGCAGGGGCCCCAGCCTTGACCCCTGCTGCTGCTAAGCCCGGCTCCTCACAAGAAACAGAGGAGGCCTGAACATGTCTGGCCTTCTCATTAAGGGCAAAAATCAGGTTTTTTTCCTCCTGTAAAGTGACACCAGCTTCACATCCTACCCTCCATGTGAAACCCTCACCACCCTCCCCCACACCCCTAGGGTCTGCATCAGAAGTCACTGGGATTCCCCACCTACAATGGAAAGGCCCCGAAACGGGCCTTGCAGATCCATCCTGAGCCCTCATGGTTGGGGGTGCACGAACCCTCACCGTGGTCGTTTGTACGGTGTTGCCCACTGTTGTCAATAAAGCAATGTTTCCTGGCATAGCAAAACCTCCCTGCTTCCTGGGTTATTCCACACTGAGTGCTCTCTGCTCCGGACGGCCAGCGGGACTGTAGCCTGGAACACAAGTGTGACCTAAGGGAAGCCTTACCCAGACACATCCTCAAGGCACAAGAGCAGGACCTCCACCTCCAGGTCCCGCCCGAAGGACAAGCCACACCTTGTGAGGCCGAGGTTACAGACGGTGTAGGGGGTGGTCTTGTGCGTGTGTGTGTGTGTGTGTGTGTGTGTGTGTACATAAAGTTACCGGTAGAAGGCGTGGGAGTGGCATCTCCCGGGCATAGTGTTGACCAGCCCTGCACAGCTTGGTTTCTTTGGTGTCTGGAACAGTGGTTTTCAAAGTGTGACCCACACATCACCCGTTTCAGATTCTACTGGATGTTTGTTAAAATGCACAATCTCAGGCCTCAAACCAAACCTCCTTCATCAAAACCTCAGGAGCCAAGAATGTGCTCTTCCATGACCACTTCAATGTGATTCTCACACATGTTAGAATTTCAAGATCTCGATCTCCGAGTAAGGTCTGGGTTTGGGCTCTCGCAGACTTCACAAGCAGCCTGGAAGGTGTGGAATGGGAATTCACCCAAAATTTTCCTCCAGAACAAGTCATAAGATGATATTCAGTGTTAAGAAAAGAGGGAATACAGGAAGGAGACTGAAACAGGGCCTGCTGAAACAGGGCCTGCTACGCATCACCAAAGGCTCAGTGCCCTGGAGGAGCAGCTGTAGAGGAAAGGGCACCTGTCCCTGGTGGGTTTGCTGCAGGTACAAGACATGGAAATGTCTACATCAACTGTGAAGAGGCAAGAGGAGCGGAGAGACAAGGGACTGACAGAAAAGTGAGCGGGCAGGCAAGGCCAGGAAGACAAAGAAACTTTGGAGGTGGAGACAGTGAGGAAGACTGGACAGCGAGAGAGGCCCTGGCCACCCAGTTCGTCTTCCCCTCCATCTTCTTTATCTGCCCGATTTATTTCCATGTCCACCTCTGCCTTCCCTGCACACACACACACACACACACACACACACACACACACACACGTGTGTGCACATTTGCACAAACATCAGAGAGCTGGATGAAGCGCTGTGGCAGCACCCTGAGCCCCTGCCCCACCCACTGCACATCCTGTTGGGGTTGTGGCTCTGCTTTCAAGGCATGACGATAATTTACTCATTTCGGTTCCCTGTCTTGAGTTCCAGGCTTCTGGTGCATAGCTGATGCTTCATTCCTTTTTTTTTTTTTTTTTTTTTTTTTTTTTTTTGTCTTTTTCGTTTTTATCGGTACCGGGGATAGAACTCACGACTGCCTGCTTGCAAGGCAGGCGCTTATGCCGCTGAGCTAAATCCCCAGCCCTTGATGCTTCATTCCTGTTTGCTGAATAAACTAAATAGAAAGGAAATTGTCTTTACAACGCAAATTCTGAAAGGTAGACAGATGTCTATTCTAAGCAAAAACTTCAGCATCAGTGTAACTGAACTTCTTCAAACTTAGGTCTCCTGTGTTCTCAATGGAGGAAATTAACTTTTATGCTGTAAATTGCTGGGAAAATCACATTACTTTATGTATGTAAAGTGCCCAGCACACAGTAAGTACCAGAACCAGTCATTTGAGCACACACAGTGCCTCCAAACAACACTGGACCAGACGGGAGCAAGAGAGACGCTGCCTAGAACTCCTCAAGTCATTGGGCGTCAGGAAGAATTCAGAAGACTTTATTGATCACAGTTGAGCTGGTTTTGCCCCCCAGGATGGTCCACATCCACTGGCAGAAATGTATTTTTAATGAATATAATAAAGGTCAAAACTTCACTTTGGTGTCAGACTAAGATTGTCTTGGAATGAAAGAGAGCTTTAAAATTCAATTGAGTAAGCCCACAGGGATGCATCTTAGACAACAAGATTTGCAAGAAGGAGTTTAGCATCAGGAGAAAAAGAGCTGGGCGTGGTAACCTCGTAGATTCCTCCTTTCACACTGACCCATGGTCAGGTCTAGGAACTGGATCCCTGCCCAACAAGGATAGAAAAACTCCTCAAGCGGCTCTGTTGTTCACACGGGGGAGCGATGAGTCCCACAGGAAGCCAGCAGCTGCCTACACAACACCAGCGGCTGCCCACACAGCTCCACCGCAGAGAGCTGGTTCCACGGAAACCACAGGAGACCCGCTGTGCCCGCCAGCAGCCCTGTGCCCAATCCTGTCACCCAGCCCTAGACCCCCAAGTCAGAGACCCCTCAGAATGCCCCCCTGTAAAACACCTGCACCCCTCACTCAGAGTCAACAGGTTTTCACCTTGGCCCGACCTGCAATGAAGTTATTGCTGTTTGCTCCAGCCTTGACCACCCCAGTGGACACTGTCATGCCCTGGTTTAACCCACCACCCATTCAATTAAACAACGAAAGCTGGTAAGAGGCCCCAGAGGATTGTCTAGTCCCAAAAGAGGTCCTTGACTTTACACAGACAAATATCTAAACCACTTATCTGATGCACACATGTTTTTTAGAATTCCAGAAACAAATTCACAAATTTCCCAATTTCTCTATCATTGTTTTCCTATCCTTTCCTAATGAAATATTTTCCCCTTTCAATGAATTCTGTGCGCCTCTCTGTCTTCCTTGTTTGTGTGGATTTTATAACAAACCAGTCCAAGGGAACGCCCGTTTTACAGATCTGGCATCAAAGCTGGGAGCACGGAAGCTATTTGCTCTCAGGACAATCACTAAATGGTGGGGAAGGGTTCAAATCCTTTTTCATCTCCCCTATTTGCCTTCTGCCCTTTCCCCGCTTAACCTGCCCCTGTCCCTTAGGATTGGGGAATAATTTTAAGATTATTTCTGAGAATGAATTCCCCACGAAATGTATATTCTGTGTTGAAAATCTTAGAAGTTTCCTGATATCCAGTGACATCCTCCTCTAGTTACCCACAAAACACAACACATGAAGCTCCTTAGAGGAAGACATGCTGGCCCTCACGAAAATCAGTATCACTGTAGTTTTTTTTCCCAACCCAACCTCAGGAATCCCACGACTATTACCATAGTTAATTTTGCTTGTTTCTACTGGTGATTACGATCTTGCAGAATGTGTGGAACTGCAATAATCCAGTTACACAGGCCTTGCCTAATAGTTTAGACCTTTCGATGTGTGATAACCAAGGAGCCACAGAGCAGTTACCATGGGAAGCGAGATGCCAGTGCAGGACTTTGAGGTTAGGGCTCTGGCAACATTCCCTGAGGCTGGCTTTGTACTGGCTGCTGGGGACAGAATCACCCAGGCTGAGTCCACTTTCAGTGCACATGATGATGTGCAAGAGAAGCGGGCAAGGCTGTGTCTGAAAATCTCTTATCTGACACCTGCCCCCTTCTGGTGGCTCCTGGGGCCATGTCCTTGTATCAGAGTGACCGAGATTCTCCAAAGATTAGAATTTTCTCCTTAGTGATGGACTTTGAGTGGCAAAGATTCTGAAGGTCTAGGATTTTAGAAAACAAGAGGTCTTAAAACCGTGTCCTTTAGTTCATTAACAAAACCAGTAGAGGTACAAACTTCTTCTTATTCCTAATATTCGGGTGTATCTATCCACCCTAAGCCAACAATTGGCATGCCCGCTCATAAATAAAAAAGCCCCGATTTTATTTCACTGGGTAGCCTAGAATTTCTCATAAAAGCTGCTACGCGTTTGCTATTTTGTGGGGTCCAGGACTGGAGAAAGCGGAAGACTCTCATCAGCACCTGTGCTCCATGCGAGATCAGTGGATTGAAGATTTGTCACTGCTGTATCTGCATGCCTGAGAGAAATCACTGCACAAATCTGGCCTTTCAAAAACCCAGCAGACTATGATCTATCGCAAAGGCCTCAAGAGGCAAGGTGAAAGAGGACAAAGGGTGCCTAAAACAGGAGTGCACAAACCGAAACACGTCCAGGGCAAATTTGGTGTGACGGTGGCAGTAACCACTGGGCCACACTATCTTTCCCCTCTCTTCTGCTCCTCATTTACCGCCTACACTCACATTCTTAGCTCTGACCTTAAAAGAGAGGCCTAGTCTATCAGCCACAGGATTTCCCTAGTCTTTTTATATTTCCGTCTTCTCGACACAAAACCCTCAGTCAACAAACCACTCCACCTTCTACAAAAGATGAGTGACCCCTACACGACTGTCCTCAGTAGACTTGGAAGAATGTAGCTCACTGTGCTGTGTCAGGCACGGAAAGCTAGGGTCACACCAGCTGCAGTCTTACACCCGAGACCATAAGCAGGGAAGAATGTCTGGAAGGAGCACGAGGAATAAAATCCTCATTTAACTGGGCTTTATTGAGCCATGAAAAGCTCTTCTCTAAGTAACTGCTTTGTCTCCTTTTATTTTGCCTTCCCAAAATGCATGATCACCGTGTGACAGGAAGCCATCCAGAATTTATTTTGCTCTCCCTGCCCCCAGTAGTGAGGTCCTGTTTGACAGGAATCTGCTCGGAGCAATTGAGGTCGTCATTGTGATTGGCTGACTGGGGAACACAGTCCCTGCAGTAGCCTTGGTGATGACTTTCACACAAAGGAAGGGAAGCCACATGGGCCTTCCAGAGGCCTTGGTCATCTCGGCCAAAGCAGAAGCCAGGCCTGTCTTTGATGAGCCACTTAGGCCTTCTAGGAATCCTTACTTCGCGTGGATGTCAATTGGAAACCAGGCTGTGACACACACGTGTGACACACACGTCCCAGTCCCTGGCGCTGGGCAAGAGGAAAGGGTCCCGGTGGCCTGGAGGGCCTGGCCTGCTGATGAGCAATGTTTCCAATGATGTCAATCACCAAGTATTCAACTCCAGGGAAAGAGCAGGGAAGTAGAAAAGGCCTCATCCTTCCCGGGCTTGGAATTGCTGCCTCGGGGAGCCAGTCCAGCCACAACTCCAGGAAATGACCTTGGGTCCAGGAGGTCATAAGACCCAACCAGGGTATATAAAGGCCCAAACCAAGAGGAGGACATTAGCCCCAGAACCAGCTCCTACCACCACCTCCAACCCCACCTTGCCCTCCACCAGCTCCACCATGTCCTGCTGCGGCTCCTTCTCCTCCCTCAGCTGCGGGGGCGGCTGCCTGCAGCCCTGCTGCATCCGGGACCCCTGCTGCTGCCGCCCAGTGTCCTGCCAGACCACCGTGTGCCGGCCCGTGACCTGCGTGCCCCGCTGCACGCGCCCCATCTGCCATCCCTGCCCCAGGCCCGTGTGCTGCGACCCGTGTGGCCTGCAAGAGGGCTGCTGCCGCCCCATCACCTGCTGCCCATCGTCCTGCACGGCCGTGGTGTGCAGGCCCTGCTGCTGGGCATCCACCTGCTGCCAGCCGGTGACTGTGCAGGCGCCCTGCTGCCGGCCCCCGTGCTGCCGGCCTGCGCCCTGCCGCGTGACCTGCAGGGGCCCCAGCCTCGACCCCTGCTGCTGCTGAGCGCCCGTGGTCACTACACGCTGGGGTTGGAGGGAGAATCGCACACATTTCTCCCACACCTGTTGGGTCAGAAGGGAGACACAACCTGTCCTTCAACACCCGCTGCCCAGCAAATGTCCCACACAGCCCGCCAGCTACTTCTGGCCCCATGGGACATTCTAGAAGAATCCCATCTCCCACCACTGGAATTCCTGCCTCACACACAAGCAAAGATCACAGCTCCAACCGAATGCACCTCTGTCTCACTGAGCCATCATTGTATTTCTACAACTCCAAGGTTCTCCCAATAGATTCTTTCCTAGGGTATTATTTTTAGGCATGGTAAAAAAAATAAAATTTTATTTCTGGGAAAGCAAGTTTTTTTTTTTTTTTCTTAATCATCTAAAGTTCTTTCTCAGCTTAAGTTCTGGTATGCAGAGTCAGTAGCACAAGGAGAAGGATTTCTATAAGGACTGCGTTTTGAGCCTTACCACAGGGACAGTTTGGGTCAAGGTCTGTCGTTTTAGCAGCAATTCAAATCGTCCACATTGTTCCCAAGGACTCAGACACCTTTTTGTTGCAAATCTTGGGTTTTGTGCTCACAGGAAGGAAACAATGAGATGATGGCAGGTACAGAAATGTGACTCCTGGGTAACCCATGCCCCGGGTAATCTATGCTCTGAGTAATCTACGCTCTGGGTAATCCATGCCCCAGGTAATGTATGCCCTCTAAGTTTCTCTCTCCCCATTTTGGATATGTGCTTTCTTACAATAAAACAGTAAGCTACCTCATTAAGAGAAGTGTTTTTCTTAGCATGCTCTAAAATATGGCAAAGTCTCTCAACAAGAAGGTTGTTTTATCCAACACCTTCACATTTGCAATGGGCACACAGCAGCATTTTTTCTCTGATAAGGGCGGGAAGGTCTACAAGTCTAATTTTTTTCTTTGGACTCTTGGCCGCCACTTTTAAAATTCTGCAGCTACCTCTGTTCTCTGCTCAGAATTCTCCTTCTTAGGCTTCTACAGATTTCTTTATCTTACAGTCTTTTCTGCAAAACTCATCATTAGTATTGGATCTTGTTGGTTTCCCCGGGAACCCATGCCGGATAGATCACTGGCTGATGCAGGTCCGGGTATGATCAATAATGGGTGAATTTCAGTCTTGGAGTCCAGATGGAGACAGGCTTGCTGTACCGAATGCAGTCAGGCTCATGCAAATCAGGGGGCAAGAGCAACAAAATGGTCAGTGACACAGTTTTTCTACAAGTCCCAGCAGATGGAAGTTAAAGAATTAAAACCAGCAAGTAGGAACAGCTGGAGGCTGGCACACAGCAAGGGGGGACTCTGAGTGTGGGTGGGCTGGAGCTGAAGCCAGTTTCGCTGGGGTCACTGCAGGAAGGCTTTGCCATATCGGGAGACGGCAAATTTCATCTAGACAGACTTAGGTCTCCAATGTCCTCTCTCCATTGACGGCTTTGGTCACTTAATTACATCCTCAAGGTGTGCTTCATTGTTTTCAGAAGGCTAAGTGGATAATAACCCAAAATTCCTGAGGGTATTGGTAAGACACAGAGTCCTTTCAGACGACTCTAAAAATCAACCATGTCACAAATGTCAGTAGTTTTAAAAGTAAATGCACCATTAAAATTCCAAAATAATGTAGATATTAGTTAATGCTTGGAAACGCAATCCCCACCATGCATTCTCCATCTCTTTGGGGTTGTAAACAGTTCTCTCGTGGATGTTTTCATAGTAAGCACTGGTCCCATGCTTATGAGGGGTGGGACCTCCTAGAAACAGGGTGATAAGGGACAACTTCATGTCTGGCTTTCGTGCCACTTCATTCTTGAGACAGAGCTCGGTGATGCCCAAGGAGGATATAAATCGTGGAGTTCACCTTGGTTTGGAGAGATAAAACCCTGGAAATCAATGAACATGGATCTAAGACCAAATGAAAACAACGAAACTGATGCGGGCATAGTGAGAGGCACTCCTGCCATTCCCAGATGGGAAGTGGCTTTGTTATCACGACCTGTGCACCGTGCTTAAATAACCTTCAGGCAGGGAGTGGGTGCGTGCAGGTGGCGCTGAATCCCTCTTGCTTTCCGTGTCCCTCCCTCCCTCCATTTCTAGTCCCTTTCCATTCGTGAAGGATCCGTCCCCCTGTTTACTATTATCTTTATATTGTCATACTTTGGGCTCCTCATAAAAGAGAAATGAGGTAGTATGTGTGCTCCTGTCCCACATCTATTCCACTCAACGTCAGGCTCTCATTTCCCTATCAGCGACTCTGGTTTGCCCTTCTCTGTGGCTCAGCAGTGCTCCACTGTAGGAGGCTACATTTTCCCCGCAGCCTCTCCGGCATTTGGAATTATGGATGAGGCCGTTCTTTCTGGAGTGAGATGGAATCTCAGTGTTGTTTTAATCTGCACTTCTCTAATAACTAAAAAGTGGAACGTTCTTTCACATATTCCTTAGTCATTCATACTTCTTCTGAGAAGAGTCTGCTCATTTCTTTTTTTTCTTTCTTTCTTTTTTTTTTTTTTTTTCATTTTTATCGGTACCAGGGATCGAACTCACGACTGCCTGCTTGCAAGGCAGGCGCTTATGCCGCTGAGCTAAATCCCCAGCCCCTGAGTCTGCTCATTTCAACAGCCCATGGTTTTATTGGGTCTTTCACTTTGGGGACGCCTAATTTTTGTGTTCTTTATATATCCTAGACATTAGTTCTCTACTAAATTAGTAGCTGGCCAAATTCTCCCTGTTCTGTAGTTTGTTTCTTTACTAGTTTTCTCTTCAGAAGCTTTCTGATTAAACAGAAAGCCATTTGTTATTTTTTGGAGGTGTTTCTTATAAAACTGGGGTTCTGTTCAAGAAGTCTTTATCTATATCTGTATTGTCAAGAGTTTTACCTATTTTATCTTCCAGAATATTAAGTGTTCTTCATTTAACGTCTAGATCTTTGAACCATTTTTATGTTAGTACATGTTGTGAGTTACAGATCTAGATTCAAATATCCGTGTGTGTAGCCAGTTCTGTCAGCACCATTTGTGGAAGAGAATATTTTCCCTCCAGTGTATGTTTTTGGTCTCTTTGTCAAAGACCAGATGACTGATGTTTCTAGAGTTGTTTCTGCACCCTTCATTCTGTTGCAATGATCAATGAGTCTGTTTTTGAGTCATTACCACACTGTTTTTAATCGCTGTAGATTCATAACTTGAATTCTGGAACTGTGATGCTTCCTGTTTTGCTTTTGTTGGCCAGGATTGGTTTTGCTATTCTGGGTTTCTTCTGGTCCCATATAAAATTTAGGATTGTTTTTACAAGCTATGTGAAGGATGCTGTTGGTACATTGATAGGGATTACATAAAATCTATGTTTCCACTTTGGTAGTAGGACCATTTTGGCAGTGTTTGTTTTGCCTGTCTAGGAACAGGAGAAATCTGTCCCTTTTAGAATGTTCTCTTCAATCTCCTTTTCCAGAACACTGTAGTTTTCATTATAGAGCTCTTTCTCTTCCTTGGTTTGTTTAACTCCTAAGCGTTTAATTTTTCTTGAAGCTACCTAAATGGTATTAGTTTCCCAGCCTTCCTCAATGATGAGTTCATTATTGATGCACAGGAATGCTATTGATTTTTCTATGTTGATTTTGTGTCCTGTTACACTGATGAATTTGTTTATTAGGTCTAGGAGTGTTTTGGTAGAATTTTTGGTGTCCTCTCCTTAAAGGAGTACATCACCCATACATTTGACTTCTTCCCTTTTTATACATATCCTTCTTTCTTTCTTTTGGCAGAGTGCTGTGGTGTTGAATACTATGTTGAGCAGCAGTGGTGAGAGTAGACACCCCTGTCTTGTTCTTGATTTTAAGGAGAGAAGGCTTTTAGTTCTTTCCCGTTTATATGATGTTGGCAGTAGAGTTGTCATAAGTGGCTTTAGTCAGCCTGCGATAAGGTCCTTCTATGCCTCTTTTCTTCAGAGTTTTTTTTATCATGCACAGTCTTTTTCTGTACCACTGTGATTACTGTTTTTGCTTCTGTTTATATAATGTGTTACATTTATTGACTTTCATATATCAAACCATCCTTGCATTCCTGGGATAAAGCCTACTTAGTCATGATATAAAAATCTTTTTAATGATTTGTGGCATTGTGTTTGCCAGTATTTTGTTGAGGATTTTTGCATCTGTATTCACTGAAAGATTGGCCTGTTGTTCTCTTTTTTTGTTGTTGTCCTTGTCTGGTTTTGGAATCTGGTAACACTGTCTTCCGGGAATGAGTTTACCAATGCCCCTTCATTTTCAATTTTATTGCCAAGTTTGAGAATATTGACATTGGATCCTCCCTGAACTTGTAGAACTCAGTGTGAATCCATCAGGCCCTGGGCTTTCCTTAGGCTTCTTATTTCTACCTCAATTCCATTGCCTGGTATTAGGGTTTTACATCCTCTCAGTATTTGGTAATTCACAGGCATCTAGGAATTTATCTGTTTCCTCTAGATTCTCCAGTGTACTGGAATACACGTTTTTGAAGTAGATACTAATAATCTGGATTCCAGCAGTGTCCATTGGTATTTCATGATTTTCATTTCTAATTAATTTCTAACTGCCTTAATACAAGTATTCTCTTCCTTTCTTTTGATAAGTTTGGCTAAGAGCTAGTCTACTTTGCTTACTTTTTTTTTTGTCTTTTTCCTTTTTATCGGTACTGGGGATCAAACTCACGAGTGCCTGCTTTAAAGGCAGGCGCTTATGCCACTGAGCTAAACGCCCAGCCCCTACTTTGCTTACTTTTTAAACAAACAACTCTTCAAGTTATTGGTTCTTTGTATGTTTTTAGCCTCAATTCATTAATTTATGCTATGATGATTATGATTTCCTTCCTCATATGAGCTTTACTTTGTACTGTTCTTATCTAGCATTTTGTGGTACATCACAGGATTATTTGGGCTCACTCTGTTTTTCTGATGTGGGCACTCATGAGTATAAATTTCCCTCTTAGGACTGCTTTCATTTTGGCCCATAGGTTCTGATACATTTCACTGGCAGGTTTTATTCTCTAAATGATGTAATTTCTCCCTTGATTTTTCTTCTGTGACCCTTTGATTATTCAAGAGTGCGTGGTGCAATCTCTATGTGTTCACAGAATTTCTGTAGTTTGTTTTCCTACTGACTTCCAATTTGTTTCCATTTTTTTGGCACCAGGAATCCAACTCAGGACCTTGAGTTTGCCAGGTAGGTTCTTATGCCACGGAGCTGTATCCTGGCACTTTCTAGTTTGTTTCATTGTAATACAATCTGATAATGCATGGGATAGCTCAGAATCTTTTGTATTTGTGAAAGGGTTAACTCCCTAACTCCCCAGAGCTATCAG